CTTCTCTGATTATTTTGTTGTTAAAGTGTTCAGTTTTGGCGATAGTTCTGGTCTTTTTAAAGTCAATTTCATGTCCTGTGGCTTTAAGGTGCTGGACCAGGGAAGAAGTTGGTTCCTCTTTTCTGACTGAGTTCTTGTGTTCTTCAATGTGTGCACTTATTCTTCTGTTGGTTTGTCCGATGTATGTGGTGGGGCAGGCGGTGCATGGGATTTCATATACTCCTTGATTTTCTAACTCAATTTTGTCTTTGGGGTTTCTTAGGATGGTGGATATTTTTCGGTTTGTGCAGAATGCTGTCTTGATGTTGTGTTTGTGGAGGATCTTGCTGATTCTGTCTGTGGTACCTTTTATGTATGGGAGGAGAGCTTTGCCGTTTTCTTGTTCTCTATCTTGGATTTTAGTGGGGTATAGAAATTCAATAAATACATAAATAAATAAAATGTTCAAGAGAAAATCTTGGCACCATAGGATAGCATGTTGACTCCCTTATTCTATACCTGTGATGACGAACTTATGGCATGTGTGCCAGAGGTGGCACACAGAGCCCTCTTTGAGGGTACACGCTTTGTCGCCAACTGCTCTTCTGGTTTCCGGTGTGCACATGCATCCCGGCCAGCTGGTCTTCACATGCGCCGGAGTGCCAGAAACCCAAAAACCAGCTGGCTGGTGCACCCATGCGCACTGGCCGGTGCACCCATGTGCACTGGCCACCTGGTTTCTGGCACTTTGGTGTGCACGTGCGCATGCACGTGCGCTCATTCTGGTTTGGGCACTCAGTGCCAAAAAGGTTCACATCACTGCTCTATACTCTTTATGTACATGACTGCATTCCCACTCACACCAGTAAACTATTATTAAAATTGCAGATGATACAACAGTGGTGGGACTCATTTCTGGGGGGTGGGGGATGAGTCTGCCTATTGAGATGAGGTGGACTGGTTGCTTTTGTGGTGTGGAGACAATAACTTGGTCCTTAACACCAATAAGACCAAGGAGCTTGTAGTGGACTACAGAAGGAATAGATCAGACATCCAGCCCTTGCTTATCAATGGAGACCGAATGGAGCAAGTGGCCAGTTTTAAGTTTCTGAGTGTTATTATAAAAGAGGACCTGACCTGGGGTGCTCACGTTGCAACACTGGTCAAAAGGGCCCAGCAGAGATTATACTACCTAAGACTTCTCAGGAAATAACTACTGAATGAAAAATTGCTGGTAACCTTCTACTGCTGCACTATAGAGAGTATAGTTTAACTTACTGCACCTGTATATGGTTTGCCAATTGCACAGTGGCAGATAGGACTGTCACTGCGTTATTTTATTTACCAGCTGAGCTCATTATTTCTGGACGTCAGACTCTCCGTAGCTTTGCCAACTTCTTATCAGTAAGCTACGTGTTTCCGTATCCACCCACATTCCTTCACTTCCTTCACACTCTCTTTCCTTTGTTCTCTTTCCAGCAAGGTCCGGCTAAGAGATAGCCGGCCCGAATTACTTTCAAAAATGTAACAATTAACTTTTCTTAGTTAGTGAGGTGTTTTATTTTCTTTATAACAAATAAATGAGTTTTATTAGAAACCTTCTTCGCGTTTTCTTTATCAGAATAGTGCAACTTGGAATAAGCCTCGATTCATCTTCTCTAAATCAGGGTAATTAGTCCCAGAGCCAAACATGGGATTAATAAATGCCCTGACATTCTGGTAGCACGAGGATGGTCTGATTTATGGCTTTTTCCTTGTTTTTGTTACTTCTGATAAGAGCGCATAGGCAATTAGGCAACAAAAAGGTCATTGGCACTCGATGGGTCTATAGAATCAAAAAGAAACCAAATGGTGAGTCACTGTACAAGGCCAGACTTGTAGCTCAGGGTTTCGCTCAACGTTATCCTGAGGACTACACAAATACCTACTCACCGACAGTCAGAACTGAGAGTGTAAAAATTGCTTTAGCAACTGCAACTATCCTTGGTTTAGAAGTTTTCCAGTTTGATGTTGACACGGCTTATCTACATGCAGACCTAGATGAAGAGATCTACGTGAAAAGTCCTCCAGGATTCCGACAGCAAGAAGGGGATACCTGGTTCCTAAACAAAAGTCTCTATGGTCTGAAACAATCTGGTTTAATGTGGTATTTATGTCTTACTGACAAACTAAATTCAATGGGCTTTATTAAGTCCGAAACTGATGAGTGCGTGTTCACAAAAAGATCTAACAATGCATATGAGATAGTTCTTGTTTATGTTGATGATATTGTTTATATTGGTCCAAATAAGCAAATGAGTGAAATTTTTGCCAAAGCTTTGCAGAGATACTTCACATTGAAATCATTAGGTCACATTAGCACTTATTTAGGTGTTCAGATTGAAAAAACACAGAAGGGGTTTAGTCTTTCACAAGAAGATAAAATTGAACAAATTTTGCATCATTGCAACATGAAAGATGCTAACACAACAAAGACACCCATGCAAACAGATTTTCACAACTTGACACAAGAAGAAAGTCCTGAGTTCGAGGATCAAACACTTTATCGTTCAGTCATTGGGTCACTATTATACATTAGTAGTTGGACCAGACCCGACATTGCACTTAGTGTTAATCTCTTATCACGACACGTAGGTAAGGCAAAACAGTTTCATTGGACATGCATTAAGAAATTACTGAGATACCTAAAATACACTAAGCATTTGAAATTATTGTTAGAACCAACACATACTGATTATGCAGAATTATGTTGTTATGCAGATTCTGATTGGGCAAGTGATAAGAAATCATGCAAAAGTACTTCAGGTTATATGATGTTCTTAAATGGATGTCCTGTTTATTGGCAAGTACGTAAGCAGAATTTTGTTTCTTGTTCATCTACTGAAGCTGAATATGCTTGTGTTTCAGATGCATGTAATTCCCTAACTTGGTTTGATGCTTTAGTCACAGATATCTGGACACACCCGATCCGACCGATCACCGTGATGGAAGACAATGAATCGGTGGTTTATATTTCTGAATCTCATTTTACAGGTTCTAGGTCCAGACACATTGACATTCGTTACCAAAACATAAAGCATTTAGTGAAAAAAGGTTTTGTCAAAATGCAGTATGTATCTACACATGATCAAATTGCTGATATGCTCAACAAACCACTTCCAGCAGCTCAACACGAGTATCTGCGTGAGAAGATGTGCCTTATTTGATGATGAACTGATATTCGCTCAACTGGCAAAAGAAGGGGAATTGTCACTGCGTTATTTTATTTACCAGCTGAGCTCATTATTTCTGGACTGTCAGACTCTCCGTAGCTTTGCCAACTTCTTATCAGTAAGCTACGTGTTTCCGTATCCACCCACATTCCTTCACTTCCTTCACACTCTCTTTCCTTTGTTCTCTTTCCAGCAAGGTCCGGCTAAGAGATAGCCGGCCCGAATTACTTTCAAAAATGTAACAATTAACTTTTCTTAGTTAGTGAGGTATTTTATTTTCTTTATAACAAATAAATGAGTTTTATTAGAAACCTTCTTCGCGTTTTCTTTATCAGAATAGTGCAACTTGGAATAAGCCTCGATTCATCTTCTCTAAATCAGGGTAATTAGTCCCAGAGCCAAACATGGGATTAATAAATGCCCTGACAAGGACAGCACTCCAGAGGGTTAACATCATTGCCCAGAGGATCATTGGTTGCCCTCTCCCCTCTTTGGAAAAGTTTTATAGCTCCCGCTGCCTTAAGAAAGTTCAAAACATTCTTAAAGATCCATCTCATCCTGGGCACCCTTTTTTTTGAAGTATTACCATCTGGCAGACGGTACAGGACAATAAAAACAAGGACAAATAGGCTGAAAAACAGTGTCTATCCCAGAGCAGTAACTATATTGAATTCTACTGTATAGTATAATATTAATGCAGTATCAGGGGTTTTCAATGCAATTATATAGAATGTGAAGGATGTGTTTTTGTTTTATTTTTATAATTTTCTTATGTATGATGTACACTGAAGATGGCATTTAATTTTGTTGTACGAGGTGCAAAGACAATAAACTAATTTTTTCTACTTTCTCTTTTCCTGGAGAAACGTGGTATGAAATCTACTGAACTTTTAAGTTAGCACTATATCTGGATAAACCTCATCCATAGGAAAAGAATGGTCAAAAAGAGCACAGATTTGTGCACTTCTTTCCTCCCAATAGTACTGTCATTAATTTTGAAATTTCACAGCTAGTTATTTACATTTTCATTTTCATTCACATTCATACCGTATTTTTTGGACTATAAGACACACCTCCCCCCCCCCAAAAAGAGGCTGAAAATTTGGGTGCGTCTTATACTCCGAATGTAGCTTTTTCTTTTTTCTTTTCTTTTTTTAAGTCTTATATGGATTTATAGTAATTTTTTTCAGGTCATTGAAAAAAAAAAAAGGAGTCTTTCTGTACATTACCTGCCCTTTTTATGTGGACTGGGAGGGGGGGCAGTTGTAGATAAAACAAAAACACAATTGCATTGAAACATAACAGTTTAGGATTAGAAATGGGGAGAAGTCCTCATTGGAACAGGAAAAGAGAGTCTGGAGAAGTAGTGATCACAAACAGAATTCCCCTCTTCATTGGGCCATGTCCAAAAAGTCCTCCTTGTCTGATTTATGAAGATGGCAAATGTAAAAATCAATAACTGAATCCTCCCCCCTTCAAATATGTTTGGAAGTATCAATCAGGAAGGCAAGATTGCTAGCCATTCTCAACTGCCACAACAAAAAGAAATACAAGTTTTCTTATAAACACCATCTTCAAAAAGAAGAACATTAAAGGATCTGTGGAGATCAAGATTTGCAAGATGCCACCCTATCTCTTGGAGAAATGTTCCCATTGTTCACTCTTCAATTCAATGCAGGGTTATCATATATATAGAGAGAGGGAAAAGTGTATTTACACTCACAGAAAATGAGAAAACGAAACAGCCACTTCACTATTAAAGACTGGAAGAGCCACTATGCTTTTACCCTGTGTCATTGCCTAGGCCTCAAATGGTGGTCAAATAGTGACCCTTGATTATAATACAAGGGGGTGGGGTGGGGGGAGAGGGCTCTTTGTAGGATAACTACACACTCAGGCAAAGATAGGCTCCTCCCGACGCTTCTTAGTGAGGATGGTTCTTGGTTTGTGTTGGGCATCTGGATGGTTGGCCAGTTCTGGGGGGCATGAAGACACCAGACTCTCAAGGATAGCTTGCTTAAGGTCATAGAAGACAGCAGAGTCCTCTTTGGTAACAAAAGAAATAGTGATGCCACTTTTCCCAGCTCGTCCTGTTCGACCAATGCGATGGATGTAATCTTCTATGTTTTTAGCCATATCGTAATTCACCACCATGGACAAATCCTTAATGTCAATACCACGACCGGCTACATCTGTGGCCACCAAAATGTCCTTGGCACCAGCTTTCAAATTGGAGAGGGCAAATTCACATTGCTCTTGACCTTTACCACCATGAAGGGTGCAAGCATTGTACCCCATTTTCTCCAAAGATTTGGCCAATACATCACAGCCCTTCTTTTGATTGACAATGTAGCTTTTTCAAAGCTTTTTTTTAGCCCTAACTAGGTGCTAGCCGAGTGCTCCCCCCCCACCCGTGCTTTGCCTGCTTTTCTCATTGCTGCTCCCTCTAAGGCATTGCTGCCTTAGAAGCTGTTTTTTATCCCCAAGCAGGGGATAAAAAACCAGCAAACTAATGTGCTGAAGCTGACCAGACTAAGGACGCTAGCCAGATGAATACCTGGTAGGCAGATTTTTTCCCCCTATTTTTCTCCCCAAAAATTAAGCTGCGTCTTATACTCTGGTGCGTCTTATACTCCGAAAAATACAGTAATTCTATGAGGACAGAAAGATTTTACGGCGCCTGCTTATTCCTTCAAGTATAAATAGTTTATAACATATATTGTATAGTGTCTACTTCTGAGTATTCTGATAAAATGTGGAAGTTAACATACTTGATTTTTAACATTATTTCACTGAAGGAAAATCCTTCCTACCTTCCTTCCTTCTTTCCTTCTCTTTATTTTCTTTTTACTTTCTTCATCTCTTCCATCCTTAACTGTAATTGCATGAAAAGATGTAGTGTAATTTCAACAAATAGTTTTCACCAATACATCAGTAGTACTCACCGATTTCATTAGATGGAATAGAAAACATACTACTGTATTATCAAAATACACATTTGTAATATCTAAAATAACCACTAGATCAGGGGTGTCAAACTTGAGTTCATTGAGGGCCACATCAGAGTTGGTTTGACCTGGGGGGGGTCAGGTGGACGTGGCCAGGTGGGCGTGGCCAGCTTGATGTCACTCATGTCGGGTGGCCCAAGCATTCTGCCAGCAAAAATGGGGTCCCAAGCTCCATTTTTGGCTGCAATTGCTTCCTGAAACCCTCTGCCAGCAACAACAGAGATTGGTAGGGCCGTGGTCAGCTCTCCTGAACTCCATTGTCACTGGCACAGGCACCACAGGCTGGTTCTTCGCTGTTTCCAGGATGGCCCCGTGTGCCAGATCTAAACACCTTGCAGGCTGGATCCGGCCCCTGGGCCTTGAGTTTGACACCCCTGCACTAGATGAGGCATTCTTATTCTCCAATACACATAAAAAAGGTCACTTATCCTGTCTTTTATCAACATACCAGTGCAAAGTTATTTAATACCTTAAAAGTTATGATAATAAAGCATTAAATATACCATGCTCCCTTAGATTTTGATATTTGACCAGGAAACATAGAATTATCTTTATCATTTAATAACAGTTGTAGAGATTATTAGACAACTTCTGGAATTAGTTTAAAAAGTAGAATGCATGATTATTTTTAAAAACAAGGTTTCTATTTTTTTAAACTTAAATTTTCTTAATCAAAATGCAATGCCAGATATAGTTCTATGGTTCTAGTTTTATGCATTAACTGGAAAAACATAATTAAGGGTGGAACAAATCCAGCTCTGGAAAGCATTATTGGCACAGAATAAACAGCATTTGGTAAAGGTTGTAGTTGCTGGTATAGTTATATTATCATTTTTAATTAAAATAATCCTACAGTGAGATTTTCAGACTATTTACATTAAAAATTGGTTCAGAATACAAATACATGCTCAGCGTCAGCAGCATTGGTTCTCTAAGACCCTTGTTGTACTGATAGCCCTTAATTTTAGTTTGAAATGCATAATTCTTCTTTTTTCTTCATATTGCAGTGTCTATAGTGGCAACAATATACATTCATTCCTTCAGTCTTTTTATTTGGCAATGTTATAAAGTTATAAATAAATCATCCTATCAAGGGGTATGATATATGATGATTTGCCATTTTCAGTTTATATCCGTGTCTTTTCCTGATTGTCCTTGTATGTAAATACACAATAATATTTTCATTAAATATCAATTATCATGTAATAGGTTCATTTTTCACTGATTCCATTGGCCATACTGACTGATGATAATAAAAATCAGAATAGATGGAGACAGATGAAAAGTACCGGTAGTAAATTGGAATAAGTTGCAGTAAACAATTCAAAAATAACCAGAAGGCAGGCTTGGCCTATTCAGCTTTTTGAAATGGGAGTTTCATCAAATAGCTACCATGCTTATGTTCCTCTTAGATCTGAAATACTACTATTCAGAGCACCAAAGAAAACCTTCACTGTTTTGCTTATGATTGCTACTTAGCAACCAGAAGCAGTGCTTTCAAGATGAAAGATGTGATATTCAGGGTTTAAATTCTACATTTTAGATCATTCAAGGAAAAAAAAATGGGATAAACTGGGCAAGAAAAGAAAAAAGCAAAAAAATTAAAGTGTGGGAGAAGATGCAAAAAGGATTAAACAGATAGGAGAGGGGAAAACATTTAGTGGAGAAGCTGTTTCAGATAACAGCAGATCTCAATTATAAATTGATATGTTAAAGGTAATTATCATATGGCAGAATGCCTTTTTCAAACTTAACAATGCAGCTCTGTATGATAATATTAAATATTTTTCAATTATTATGAGCTGTGGTGGCACAGTGGTTAGAACACAGTACTACTGCGGGCTATTTCTGCTGACTGTCAATTGGCACTTTGGCAGTTCGAGTCTCACTGGCTCAAGGTTGATTCAGCATTCCATCCTTCCGAAGTCAGTAAATGAGGATCCAGATTGTTGGGGGCAATATGCTGAATCTGTAAGAGAATATTTACAGCCCGCTTAGAGCGGGCTGTAAAGCACCGTGAAGCAGTATATAAGTCTAAGTGCTATTACTATTATGGTACATTCACCAATAATTTGAAATTAAAGGTGAAAACTGCAACCTAAGCATGTATGCCTGGAATTATTTTAGTTGGTGAAATTATTTCTACGTGGACCAGACTGTCATTGAGTTGTTCTATAGCTAGTATAAATACTTATAAAATTGGATGTTTAAATGGCATGTCTTTTAAATTTATTTGCTGGACATTTTTATTGCTTTTATTTGTTATGTCTGCTGTTATTATAGTCTATAATTAAAATAGTCATTAAATTGATTTTCATTACTGTTCATAGTACATGGAACATAAGGACATTTCTTGTAGATTTGTTATTCTTTATAATACTAAACTTCATGAATATCAACTGTTACCCTTTAAAAAGAAAAAAATCAACAAAATTAAACAATTTAATATACAATAGAATCTCTGATCACAACTATAATTCATTCCATAGCTTTGGTCGCAACCCGATTTGGTTGTGACCCGAACCTAATTTTGGAAATTTGGCGCTTACAAAAATAATTGCGTGGAAGGGAAAATTGGCTGCGGAAAAAAAATATTGTGAATTTTTTGGTTGGAACCTGATTTGGTCGTGGTCAGAAGCGTTCGTGACCAGAGGTTCTATTGTATAGTGGTATCTCAGTACTCATCCTCAATTGGTTCCGAGAGGTGTGATGAGTACAAAAAATGTTGAGTACCAAATAAATATTTCCCATAAGGAATAATGTAGAGATTCACAAGGCAGCTGACAGCAACACGTTCTAGTTTATGCATTGAGTACCAAACAAATTATGAATACCGGGACAAAATTTTCATATTAAAATGCATTGAGGACCAAATTCGATGTTTCTTTTTTTTTTTTTTTCAATTCCCACCGTTATATAAATAAATAAATAAATAAATCCTTCAAAACTATTTAAAAAAAAAAAAAAAAAATTCGATGTTTCAAAACAGTTGAGTACCAAGGTACCACTGTATAACATTCTTTTAAACTACATGAGAGACCAATCAGAAAACAAATTATGCTCTCATAACTTCCCATTCATAATTCACCTTTTTGGATTCAAAAAGCAAAAATGATAAAATTGAAATTATCACTGTGCATCTTTGCATTTGATGTTGATAGACTGCAAGTTGTATCATGTGCCTCTCATCTTAATTTTCAGGAATATGCTAAAAACTAGATATTTCTAATCCATTATCATGAACCCAGGACATTCTTTATGCCCATCCCAGTTTGGGATTAGAGTATGAAAGTCAGCAAACGGTACACAAGTGGGATTGATTATCAGGCAGCAATCAAGCTGAATTTAGAGAAAAAAACCTGGTAAATTCTAAATATGTACTGTCAGATTCCACCAATACTATGATACGTTGTATGAAAATTGAACATGAACATGAAAATGTTGAAACTATTTTTAAGTGAAAATGAGGAAATGTATTGGCAAAATTTAGAATTGATTGCATCAATTATACTTAGTTATTTTTGTGTATACTGCACAAAGGATATTGGGCAGAATAAAAATAATAATTATGTTTACATTTTTGGGGAACCTTGTCTTCTTTCAGGTATAATTTAAATTTTAATGGGGCATGTACAATTTTTATTCGCAAAGTTTACTATTCATATTTAACAGTTTTTAGCGCGAATCCCAATTATGTGCTCTAAATGTTTTAATGCTCCTCACATAATTTGAAATCAATTTCTTAATTTACAAATCTTAAGTGTGTCTCTAGACTTTCACAAGAATAGATCATACTTGAGCAGAACAGTGATGGTTGCTGAAGCATTCTTTATTCCCATTCATTTATTCATTCTCAACTGTAACTTAATACTAATTTCATTCTGCAAAGTAGCAAATGGAATTTTAAAGTTAAGAAAATGTGTACTAATTTTGGGCTTTAACACCTAAGGTTTTTTTTTTTTAATTTCAGGTAAAAATAGTCAGCCATATGAAAGATACAAAAATAAAGGAAAAGTTTTTGGAAAAGGAAAGCAAAACCTTTTTTTATGACAAAATTAGAGATTTATATCAGGCTCCCATTCTAATCCCTCTAAAGAGAGAGATAATATTTAGGCTAACATAATGTATTACAAGAATACTTGTAATCAGATTTGCTCTGAATCAGCTTTGAATCCACATTATTCTATTTTACTCAAGATATTATAAAGTGAATTGTTTGCAATTACTGACAATTCTAATTACAAGACTGTTTGTTTCAAATTCAAATGTATCTTACTCAATTGCTTAGAACTGATGTTGTAGAACCAAATGTTTGTATGTGTATTGTGAATGCATCTTCTGTCTATCTAGAAATTCACTCCAGCCCTTTTATGATGTTGTTCTCTAGATTGAGAACTTCTGACATTATGAAGTGCGTTCTGAATTACGTTGTCATGAATTTGCTCAATCTAAATTAATGGACAAACAAGGTATGAAATGTAAGACAAAACATTACACTCTCCTTGATTAAACAGATGCTTTAAAAATATAAAATTGTACAACATTTGACTGAACACTTTCTGTTTTGTATATATACTATGCAGATCATTCTAGGTTTTAATTTTGTGAATTATATAATACTTTTACTTCTTTGAAAAAAAAGAAAAAAATGCAATCCTATATACTTGTCCTACAAAGAAGTCACTGAAACCTGCAAACTCCTTTCTTTGGATGTGTAGAATTATTTTATTTTTCAAGAGAATTTAGATTGAAGATGAAATGCTTTAAGATACTTCTAATTAATAAAACAGATTGGACTCAAGAACATTCCATTGTTGAATACAAAAATATTGCCACTTTAAAAACAATAAGTTAGTTTATTTTACACTATTTTACACTATTTTGTTGTCAAGACTTTCCACACTGAATTGTCATGCCTCACATATGATTTCATAATTTTGCACAAAGCATCTCTAACAACATATCATCCATATTTACTGTTCCAATAATGGGCCTGAAAAAAAGTTCTGCAATAACACTGGCATTAATTGATTCAAGCATAGAAAGAGCCACATTCAGTTTGGCAAATCTGTCCTGGTCTTCTCTGTGAATCAGTTTGACATGTTCATTTAGGGCTTGTTGTGCTTCTTGCTGCAGTCCTTGGATGTACTGCACACAGTGCAGCCCTGGCAACTCTAAAAAGAAAGAAACGGGAAGAAGAACAGGACATAAACATTACATTATTATCTCTTTCACTTGTAATATAAGCAATTTATATTGGATCATTTTGTTATTAATAAATTAGTGTACTACATCGAACCTTCTGACTGAGGTTATATATTGAAAGAAGTATGTTATCATGCTGATAGAGTAATATAAAAACTGTTACATGGAAGGTATTTCAATCTATTTGCTTCTAAAGAGATACTAAAATTGGTATGAAAGAAATATTTCTGCAAAAATATCTCTTCACACAAATGCACTGACATCCATGTTTAATAAAGTATTTCACTAAAGTTCATTCTTATGGATGAAAATGGTCATTGCAACATACTTACTTTTTTTTAAAGAGGCTTTTCAAACAATCTGTTAACTCCAAAACAACCTAAGTTAAAAATATGCACTGCTGCAAAAGTATTTCTGCAGTTGCATGCAGCAAAAAGGAAGCTCCAAATTAAACTAAGATGTTTACATCTGCATCTCAGCTCATTACTTTGCAATCTTGCATGATAGGATCTCTCTCTTAATTTTGGCACCTAGCACTCGCTATATTATACCAGTTTAGAATAGTTCTATTGTATTTTAGAAGACAGCACTGCTAGGTTCTGACTATTGAAATACCTAGAAAATGGTATGTGAGTTAACACCTGATAATAACACAGAAACTTGATGTTTTTCTCTCTTGTCACGGTTCCTCAAGAGCAGCATTATTTACACTGTTTTAATAATAAATGACTGTCATCTCAACTAACTTGGATGTTTTAAGATTGCAAATATTTTTTTTTTCAGATTATTCAGTCCCTAATGTATTTATACTTAATGTACTCAGTATTCCATTCCACACTACATAATTTAATAAAGTTTAAATCATATTCTTCCACAACACATATCTAAAATGTTATTAATCAAAACAAAACTTTATTTTTTATTAAATCCTTAAATGAGATATGCTGAAACAAAGCTAGCGTTAGTTTTATAACATGAATTTGAGGTAAATTCATTTATTTTTGTTTTCCTCAATATAGATACAAAAAGAGTTTTGACTTACTTCGTGTTATCTGCATGCAAGGTTTGTGAATTGATATTTGCTTCCAAACCAAGTATCATCAGAAGACTGTTTTTTCTAACATTTCAATTCGCAAAATTCTAATTCTCTATCTGAGCTCTCTATCACTTGCTATGAATCCAAAAAGCAGAATGACTATTACGACTACTATTAGGCATTTAACTTAATAAGATTTTAAAAATACAGACAGACACCAGCAATCTAAGCTCAATTGCTGCATTCTGACAGCTGCCGGTGGGACCTAAATCCTTAAGTCCAATTATTGAATGTTTTTTTAAAAGATGCTTTTGTAAGTATTGGCAAAGCCAGACCAGTCGAACTTCCTCCCAAGTTACAGAAGAATACTATCAGAAGGACAGGCCCTTTCCGTTACCAGATGAATTGGAGTTCCTGATGGGAAGTTTAAGGCCAAAACATCCGGGGTCCCCAACTTCGAGGCCTGTCCCGAGTCGTACCCAGGCACTACCAAAAACGGCTGGCTTACCTGGATTAAAGAGAACCGTCCCCTTAAGGTAGGCATACTCCTTGGTGCTTATGTCCAAACTCCAACATTTGGCCAAAAAAGCTTTGATGCTTTGGATCTCTGCCGCCGACAGTAACTTGGCGTTGCCGCTGCCGCAACTTCCATTCCCATTCCCACAGCTCTGGTCCAACTCCCCCTGCGTCTCGCGGAGCAACTGGAGCTGCCGCCGCCGCCGTTCTTCATCGCAACGCTTGTTGGTCAGTATCCTGTGGAGCATGCTGAGCTCCGTGGTCTCTACCGTCTCGAAATGCACTCGATCCTGGGCCAGCCCCAGCACGAGCAGGGGAGCCCAACAGCTGCGTACAAGCACCAGCTGCTCGTCCAGAGGCAGCTCCTGAAAACAGGGCACGTTTTTGACGAAGCGCAGCGTTTTCACCAACACGGCTGAAGCCGCCTTGCACGCAACCTGCGGGTTCTTGAGGGCCACGCGACTCTGCCTGCCGCACGAGCAGCCGAGCGCCGTAGCGTAGGGCCCCTGGCCCGGTTGAGGCGCGGGCTGCTGCCGGCTGGTCTCTTCCTGCTGCTGCAGCTCCTCGCTCTTCAGTATGTTGTAGAGAATGCTGCTCTGCCCCCGGGAGTCAGTGCAGCACCGATATCTGTCCATGCACGCCATATCTCCAAGGGGAGGCAGCAGCGGACTCTGAGGGAGGAAGAGCGGCGAAGCGACGTCCCTTCGGCCCAAATCAAAGACGCTGGTTGTCCTCTACGTAGCCCTTAACTTTTATTTATAGCGCGAGGGTAACCGCGCTTTGCGGCGCTGGACTTCAAAGGCGAAGACGCTTGTTACTGGCTGGGAAGAAAGGACAGGGCGGAAAGCAAGACGAAAAGCGACCCTTAAAAACTCCACCTTCTCCCCTCCCCTCTTACCAACTATAGAGAAAGAGAGCGCCTATATTTCTCTTTGTGCTGGGTTTGCAATCTGCTGCTCGCGTTGCTTGGAAAAGGATTTCCTAATTCCGTTGTGTCTCCTTCCAGCGCCCCCCACCCCAAATTAAAAAATAGCTTCTTGAACAAAGCGAAAGGGACAAAAATTGCAAATCTATCTACTCTACCTATTTCTACTTTCTACTTTATTCCTCAGTTGGAGAACTGAAGCTTAGGAAAGCTAAAATAAAAGATGAACGAAGTTCAGGGCATTAAATTGGCACTAAACAGGCTGTTCGGAGAATTAGCCAAGTGATTTGAACTTTGTAGAAAGCCGTCAGATGAATATTTTTTTCTGGGTTTGCAGAAGATGGTTGTAATAACTTCAGGCACAGCAATTTAATAAACTATATTTTTAAAGATCTAAAGGTAATTGATTTCAATGTATTTGTGTCTCTCCCTCCCCTCTATCAAGCCTGAAAGAAAAGCACTATTCATTAATGAATTGACATCCAGAAAAATATATTTTTCATTTTATTTATATTTTAGTAATTTTAATGGATTTTCATAAAAAAAATACTTTTGCTCAAATGCAGTTAAATCTATGTTGCAGAATATTGCTTTATTATATGCCGGATTCTCTTTCAGCTGATTAACTGAATTAGAGCTCAAGGCTCTATATATTGTAATTTTTATATTGTATATTTTATATTTTATATTGTAATATAAAAATTTAGATTGAAGTCAGCGATTTACAAGTATTTCATGATGGTGGAGCTCCTAACAAAATTTAAAAAATGTAATATCTATCCAATTTAACCATTTTTTTGTTATTGTTAAAAGAGATTATTTCCTCCCTAAAAATAATGAATAGCATGTCATTTTTTCTCCTGTATTCATTCTCTCCATAAGCCACATTATCAAGTTCAGATGTCTGTTTCTATTCATTATTTTCAGGATCCATGTCTTCATTCTTCTCCTTTCCTACTCTCTTCTTCATTATCATATTAGTTTGAGTAACTGGATCTGGTTGGTCCTTTATTAGGATCACTCAGGCAAGTTATTAGAGAAACAGAAACATCTTAAGTTTGTGGAGATACCAATATCAATAGATGAGATATACAGAGAGATATATACTTGGTTTCTCCTTGTCTGTTTTGTTTTAACTTCTTGTTTAATGAAAAGTTCTGGAAACATTAAAACCACACACAGATAGAGGTAGCCTTTTCTCTTATTTTGTTTGCCCATAACAAAAGTATCATCCAGTTTTGACATTTTAACTATTTTATGACTTCTGGCTGATGTGGCGATATCGAAGGTGACGAGCGGGTCTCTGCACTTCCACGCTCACTTCTCCCTGTTGGAGGGCTCCGAAAGGAGCTAAAACCACCCTGTAGGGCTGGTGAAGAAAAGAGGGGCTCCCTATAGTTCAGGGAGAGCAGCAACTCTCCTGCTGGACTCAGGGCTTCTTCCCTCTCACTCAACAAAGAGAAGAGGCAGCCATCATGGCTGCCATAAAGCTGGGATAGTCGAGGCAACTAAGAAACATGTAGGAGCGGTGCAGATGGACAGTGTCTGGAGCTGGGTGAGAAGATACAGAACCTTTTTATTTAGACCCTAATTTTAAAGAAAAAAAGAAAGAAACAGGAAAATCCAGGAAAAGAGACTCCTAGAGCTATTTTTTAAAGCAGGGAACTACCATAAAGAGAAAAATCCTAGACCCAAAAGAAAGGAACTAAGGGGAGAAAAGTTAAAGACCTTTTAAAACATAGAAAATTGGACTTTTAAATTGGGCAGGCATAGTTTTGGAAAGGCTTTAAAAATGCTAGACTATCTACTTGAATTTATTTGAATAGTGGACTTTGCCTCCATAAACTATTAAATTTGGATCAATTTAATCTATAAAACCTGAAACAATGCTGAAAACTAAGCTAATGGCACCATCTACTGGTGAATGGAATATACCAGACCCCTACAAGCTTAGAAAAACTTTTTGAAGGGAGAATAAATAACATTCATCTGGAGCAGGGGTCAAACAATGGCCCATGGGCCGCATATGGCCTGCCAAAACCATTAATCCAGCCCGCAGGACCATCAGGCTGCCCTGCCCACATCTCCCCACCCACCTGCTGGCCCCCACCCTTCGGCCAAGTGCAGGACTTAACTTCGCGAGCCCCGCGGGCTGGAACTGGAAAGTAAGGCCAATATTTTTGGCCTGCAGAATGCTACTGGAGGGGGGGAGGTGAAAAACGGCACACGGACACCCCAGGAGGCCAAAAACAGGCCCGTTTTAGCCCATTTTTGGCCTGCAGAGTGCTTCTGGATGTGGGGGAGGTGAAAAATGGGGTGCGCGGACACCCCAGGGGGCCAAAAATGGGCTCATTGGGGGGGCGCCTAAAGTAGGACTCTGCAGGCCAAAAATGGGGCACATGGAGGCCTCCCAAGGACATCCGCATGCCCCATTTTTGACCTACCCCACCTCCAGAAGATAGAGGGAGAAAGAGAGAGAGACAGAAAGAGAGAGATAGACAGAGAGAGGGGAAGGGAAAGAGAGATACAAGAGACAGAGAAAAAAAGAGATAGACAGAGAAAGAGGGAGAGAGAGAGAGAGACTTGTTGATTGTAAGTTCCTTGGGGCTGAGAAGAATTGCTGCAAAACTGAGTTTCCTGAAGTGGGGCACTAGACTAAATAACTGAAAAAAAGATCTAGTAAAAAGTAAAGTCAACCAAAAGAGCAACATGCAAACAAAAGCAAATAAAACACTCCCCAGAGCAAAACAGATTACAGTGTCAGCGTCACTAAACACTAAAGCAAATGTTTGCAAAAGAACCGGTCTTGAAGCATCCTGACCCCGAACAACCCTTCGTCATCCAAGCAGATGCCAGCGATGTGGCAGTAGGAGCAGTCCTACTCCAAAAGAACAGCCAGGGGGACCTGCAACCTTGTGCCTACACATCCCGCAAACTCACCGATGCAGAGAGACGATGGGCAGCGTGGGAAAAAGAAGCGTTCGCAGTGAGATGGGCGCTGTTAACCTGGCGACACCTGCTAGAAGGAGGCCAGACACCGTTCAAGGTTTGGACTGACCATAAAAACCTGGAGGCCCTCAAGACCCCACGGAAGTTATCGCCCAGACAAGTCCGGTGGGCCTAATAATTCAATCGTTTCAACTTCGAGCTGAAGCACATCCCAGGGGGGAAGAACTTTCTGGCCGATGCCCTCTCCCGAATGCCTCAATATAACAGTGAACGTGAGCAGGTAGTGAATGCCATCATCCCCTCTGCCCAAGGAGTGGGCCAAGTAACCACCAGACGGCAGCATCGAGACCAGCAGGGGCAACCAGCAAATGACCTAACAACAAGGCTCAAGGCAGAAACGTTGGCGGACCCCTGGTTCCGAGACAATCAACATCTCCTGACCAAGAGAGATGGCCTAGCATGGAGAGGGACGAAACTTTATGTCCCAGAGACCTTATGCACCTTGGTCCTCAAGAGGAGTCACGACGTCAAACCAGCAGGACATTTTGGTTTCCTAAAGACTCTGCATTTAGCACGGAGACAGTTCTGGTGGCTCCATATGAGAAAAGACGTAGACAGCTATGTAAAAAGTTGTACCATCTGTGCCACGATGAAAACCCGACCAGGAAAGCCCCCGGGGCTGCTACAGCCAGTAGCTGAACCGTCAAGGCCATGGGAGGAGATTGCTATGGACTTCATAGTCGAACTGCCAAGGAGCAGCGGAAACACAGTGATCTGGACTGTAATAGATTTATTCTCCAAACAGGCACATTTCATACCCTGCAGCGGACTACCCTCAGCCCGCCAATTGGCCAAACTGTTCATAAAACACATCTACCGCCTGCATGGAGTATCCAGAAGAATTATCTCTGATCGAGGTGTCCAGTTTACCACGAAGTTCTGGAGGGAATTCCTTCGATCCATAGGATCATCCCAAGGCCTCAGCTCAGCGTTTCACCCGAGCACCAATGGGGGGGCGGAGAGATTGAACACCATGATAGAGCAGTACTTGAGGTGCTACGTTGACTACCAACAATCGAACTGGGCGGACCTCTTATCGTTTGCTGAGGTCGCATATAACAATGCTATCCACAGTAGTACAGGACTAACCCCATTTAAGATAGTGAGCGGCATGAATTTCGTCCCCATGCCAGAGTACCCAAGGGAGCCTCCTTCCTCAGTTAGCTTGACCGAATGGATGGCAATGCTGAAAGAAACCTGGGAGAACATCAAGAAGGCATTAGACAAGGCGGCACGGTCTTATAAGAAACAAGCAGATAAGCACCAAGCCCCCCAGAGGCCGTTCCAAGTAGGGGAGAAGGTCTACCTCTCCACCAAGTATTTAAGACTCAGACTCCCAACTAGAAAGCTGGGCCCGAAATTCATAGGACCATTTCCAATAGTAAAAATAATCAACCTGGTTACAGTACAATTGCAGTTGCCCCGGTTACTAGGGAGGATACACCCCGTTTTTCACAGTAACCTCCTGAAGCCAACGTTAGGGTCAACTTTAAGGCCGGTGCCACATGATCCCCCAGGGCCCTTGATTGTTGGAGGCCAAACCCACTATGAAGTACAGCGAATTCTTGATTCGAGGTGGCACAGAGGACGCCTCCAATACTTAATTAAGTGGAAGGGTTACCCCTTGTCAGAAGCTTCCTGGGTGAAGAGCACGAATATTCAAGCTGACCGCCTCATAGCTAAATTCCATGCAGATCACCCAGACAAGCCGGGAGGGGGTGGGACACACCCTTGGACGGGGTAAGGTACTAAACTTGTTGTTTGTCTCATGCAGGCCTCACCAGGAGAGTGAAGGGAGAGGGGCCGGATGTCAGCATATCAGCGCTGACATAGAAAAGGGAGGATGAAGTTTGAACTTTTGCCTGCTAAATCCCTTTGAAGTTTCAATCTCCTTGGAGATGAAGAGCGGAGGGGGAACATTCCTGTGAACTGACAGGAAAAGAAATCAGGAGAGTGACTTG